CATAAAGAAAGAGAATTGCAAAGAACTGATGTTTGAGGAAAAAAACTACACAAATAAGAGTTTTTAGATCACTTAGAAACAGTCACAGAAAAAGGATGAGATATAGTTGAATGACGAGTAACACGGGAATGAACTTTAGTAGATGGCACAAAAGACGTTAGCTCTTTAGAACAGTGTCCATTATAGTATTTGTAGAAAAAAGAAAGGGAAACGACATTACGACTATGTGATAATGGTTGAAGGTTGGCTGTAAGAGCAAGTCCAACTATATTTACAATGCGTTTTTGCACCTTGTCTAAAAGAGAAAGAGCATCATTAGAAGATCCGCCCCAGATATGGCAACAGTATTTCATACAAGGCCGGATTTGAGATTTATAGAGATAGAGAATAGAATCCAGAGTAAGAAAGTGTCGAGCTCGATAAAGAGATTCAACTTTAGCAGATGCTAATTTTGCAACGGATTTGATATATGGTTTGCAAAAAAGACCGGACGTATGAGTTGATCCTAGAAGATGAAAAGTAGATGATTTACTGAACTCATTACCATTCATAAATATATGAAGGTCTAAATTATTGCTATAATGATTAGCTGAAAAAAATTGAGTTTTATTTAAATTAAAGTTGTAGCAGAAGTGAGATCCTTTTCATGCTGTAGCAGAAGTGAGATCTTTTTCAAGCTTAAATGCCCCCTCCAACCAATCAGAGAGAGTTAGCTTCTAATCATGACAAGAATAAATGCAGCCAATCAGCGAATAATACCACCTTAGATGTGAGAATATCTGGAAGATTGTTAATGTAAGTTAAAAAGAGTATAGGGCCAGAGACTGAACCTTTAGGAACTCCTGAGGTTACAAAACAAGAAGAAGAGTGCTGTCCATCAAGGAAAACTTTTATACTACGATTGGAAAGGAAGGATTCAATAATCTTAAAGATGTTTCCAGATAAACCGTAAGAAGAAAGCCTATGGAGAAGACCAGCATGCCAAACTTTATCAAACGCTTTAGAAATGTCAAGAACGATGGCCTTAACCTCTCCTCCTTTATCTAATGCAAATAAAAAATCTATCGGTTATTACTGTTAGCAAATCAGCCGTAGAACGAGAAGATCGAAATCCATATTGATGAGCAGAAAGTAAGCTATTATATTCAAGATGAGAGAATAAGTGTTTGTTAATTAAAGGTTCAAAAACCTTGCTTACGATAGGAAGAAGACTAATGGGACGGTAGTTAGACGAATCGGATCGCTCTCCAGAATTTTAAAAATTAGGGATAACAGATGCTGCTTTCAAGCATGCTGGAAAACAAGACTCTAATAAGCACTTGTTGAATAGTTTTTAAAATATAGACGACAGCTACGGAGAACACTTCTGCAAGACTATAACAGGTATGTTGTTCAGCCCACAAGCTGTAGAAGAGTCCAAGCAGGAAATCCCTTTAGATACAGAAGCTGGAGTGATACAAATGTCAAGCAATGGATCAACCTGTTTGACGGCTATATCAGGTAAACGCAACTTGTGGAATCAAGAGATGGTATTTATGAAAAGTTCTTAGAAAATAATTCAGCTTTGTCTTTAGGTGAGGTGACAAAATCTGAACTATACAAAAGAGGTGGATTTAAAAACTTGCTCTTATTATTGATACTATTAAAGATTCTCCAGAAGTGACAAGAGCCTAATTGGCAATGCACACAAAAATACAAATAGGGACACTATCCATGCGCAACATGGCACTGTTAATACTTTGATATTTTTCAGCTGTTGATTGAATCAGCCTCTCTGAGAGCTAACACAAGATTTGGGATACCTGACTACCAGCCGGCCTCAGAACTATAAAACTGAGTTTTAGAGCTGTATCCTCATTAGGAGATAATAGAATGAGTTGCCTAGTCATAAAAAGATTTTACTCGAAAAATGAAAAACTATGGCGTAAAAAATCAAGCTTTAAATTGGTTTAAAAACTACCTAAATAACAGACAACAGTGTGTTATTATAGATAAAAAAAGTAACTCAAGTTTACTGAGAACAAAATGTGGTGTACCTAAAGGTTCCATTCTTGCTCCTCTTTTGTTTCTTATTTATATAAACGATTTTCCAAATACCTCTAATATCTTTAAAACTATAATGTTTGTCGACAACACAAACTTATTTTACTCAGCAAAGACAATCGAAGACCTTTTTGAAAAAACAAATGCTGAACTAAATAAAATTATTATATGGTTTAAATCCAATAAACTGTCACTCAATATAGAAAAAACTTAGTATATACTATTTCACTCTAATCAACAAATTAAAAAAATACCCTTGAACCTACCAACATTTAATATAGAAAATATAACCATCAAAAGAGTTCTGAATACAATGTTTTTAGGATTTCTAATTGACGAGCATATCTCCTGGAAACCCCACATAAACTACATTAACACAAAAATATCAAAGAACATTGGTTTACTATACAAAGCAAGACCATTTTTGTCACAAAAAAGTCTGAAACTTGTCTACTTTTCATTCATACATAGCTACCTGATGTATGCCAATATATTAATATATCTAAATTAGAACCACTTTACCTACGTCAAAAACACGCTTCAAGACTAGTATACAACAAAAATAAATTTGCTCATGCTCAATCCTTATTGGAACAAACGAACGCACTAAATTTATTTCAAATAAATATTTTTCAAAATATACTTTTCATGTTTAAATATAAACTAAATCTGGTTCCAGAACATTTTACAGCACACTTTTTTAAAAACAATCTAAATAAATAAAATACAAGAGCAACAGGCAACTTTAAGATACCGTTTGAAACAACAAGATTCTCAAAATTCTCAATTACATATCGTGGTCCCTATTTATTTAACAAATTATTTTCCAGAAACGAATCACTATTAAACCTAAACAACGAACACTCTCTGAAAATAAAGCTAAAGTTTACAATAATCAAATTAAACAACTATAAGGAATTTTTTTTTAATATTATTAAAAAAAATATTTTTAAATGTAGCTTAACTTTTAATACAAATCGATAATAAAAAAATTATAATATTAATATTAAGATATATAAGTACAACATACACCTATACTACGTATGCAACTGATTTTTATGTGTATTACACGTCCAGAAAAAGGTACTCGATGACAAGACTGACTTAAGTCTTCTGCGAGCTTCCTATAACTACTAACAAGTAATTCTTTTTATCAATCTTACACAAATATCGTTTTTATTATATATGCTCATCGCATTGCTTATCATGCATTTTACTTATCATTTGATATATGGTTTTTAAACCTGCTGTACGTAGTGTAAATAATTTTTTCTGTGCCTCCTTATGAAATGATGATAGGTCGTGTTTCCTCAGTCTTTCTACAGCCTTTTTCCAACTGCCATAACCAATAATTGGTTAATTAAAATAATTAAATAATTTGTTAAAAAATTATTGAATAATTTTAAATTAAATTATAAATTAAAAAAAAAAGTTAAATAATTGGTTAAATAATTAAAAATAAAAAAAAATGTTTGTCAAATATTGACAAAAATTTTGTTCACCGCATTTTGAGAAAGATACCAGATTTTTCTTGACAGCACCAATGCAAATATAGCAAAATAATTTCTTTTTGGAATGACATAGATGAATCCAAGGGTAATCTATAATCCATTTTTCATTGAAATATCTAAGTTGTTTGCTATACATTTTTTTGGTTGCTTTAATATCGGCAGGATTCATTTCTGTTTTTACGGCATTCCATTCTCAGCAGGAACAATAAGGAAAAGATTTTTGTCGTTTCCTTCTTGAATAATTTCTTCCGTTGTTAAAGTTCGACTTGATATACGCCTGTCAGGTACAAAGTAAGAAATCAGTGTTCGTTGTTTTTTATGAGACGGTTCCGTCATGACTTTTCTCAAAATTGTTAGGAAATACTAGTCGTAAGATTAGGAATTGTAAATTTTGTAAAATGTGCTTATGTATAGATTTATATATTCACAATAAAGTGAATGGTAAAACATTGTTTAAAGCAAACACAAAGTTATTATTTCAAATAAAAAACGCTTATTGCTCCTTAGAAGCTTGTAAAGTGTGATTCGAGTTTGCATCATATTGATTGGATAGTGGAAAACGTAAAATAAATTAAAATGAGATTCTGATGACAGGAGGTGATAAAGATACAGATGAATTTGATATTGATGATGAAGTAATGAGAACATGATTTTATTGAAATCGTTTTAAATAAAGATATTTAAAATATTTTTTTGGTTTTATTTGCTTTTAATTATGATTTAGTTACCTGCGTTAAGAAAATAACAAAGGAGCGGATCATTAGTAAAATTAAAATAACAGATAATAATATAAAATTACCATTGGGTTGAGGTTCTGCGTTATTGGCCGGGGCAGAGCCCAGACCTCAACCCCATCGAAAACCTGTGGAATGTAATGAAATTAAAGATTGATAAAGAGAAACATCAAATTTAGATGATTTTCGTGCCATCACAACACGCACAGACATAATTGTTGATGTTTGTAAAAATCTCGTAAATTCTTTGTCTGCGAGAATTGCTGAAGTAATTAAGAATAAGAGACAGAGTAGCAGATACAGAGACAGAGTAGCAGATATTTGTGGTATGTAAAACTGAACTATTACTGTTATGTAAATTTAAACAATGTTTTGATAAACGATGATGCGTTAAAGACATTGTGTCCATTTAAACTTTGAATTTGTTGAAAAGACACGAATACAACAGACTTTTGTCTGTTACAACTGTACACTAAACCTATTTTAAATAAAAATTTATTGTAAAAAAAAATCAAGATTTACAAGTAAATATTGTTTATATATTATGTATAAAAAAAACATTTTAATTTTTCTTTGAAATAAAATATTTTAATAAAGATAAAAAAAACTAAAAAAAATATATATATATTTATATATTTCTATTTAAAAAACTCCACCATTTCTTTGAGAAAAAAACAACAACAACAAAGTATTAAAACTATAAATATTGATTGATGCTTTCTTTGTATTATATTTATGTCTTTAATAAAAATTTCTCCTATATAAAAATAGCAACTAAAATTTAACATATAATTAGTTTACATCATCAAGTAAAAATTCGTATGCATAAACAATCCAGACACTTTTCAATTGTAAAGGTACGGAAATTTGTATGAATCAGTTTCTTGTAACCTTGTAAAAATATTATTTTTAAACAGTTTTTCAAAAGCTTTTAATTGCTTCAAAATTATAAACATGTTTTGTTTTGGAAAAAATATTTTACTACTCGGTGTAATTAAAGCACTTTTAAAATATTATAGCGTCTGTATGATATTTTTTTGACTACGACATATTTCCGTTAAATATCTGGTCTGTGAATTATGAAAAGCCAAATTATAAATTTTGCGGTAACATAAAATATAAATGTTTGTAGCGAAAAAACCCAGACTGAAGATTTTTTTTTTCTTTTAAATCACAACCGCTCGTCCAAATTTGATTAAGATTTTATATTAATACGTTTTTTAGGTGAAATAATGTTCACATTATAGTTTACAAAATGATCTGTTCTGATCATTTATTGGCAATTTTACATAATTATAAGCTCTTTCTTGGTCGTAATTTTAGTATTTTTATGAAAATAGATAATATATTGTGTTTTGACGACTATATATAGACTATATATTATATGTCAGAACCGACTAGGATCAGTAGTAATTTAAGGAACTTTTTCAATAGATTTTAACTAAATTCATGTTAACACCGATGAGCGAAATTGATCTAAAGACTCCAAAATGGTGTTCTTTAGATTCACTATTACGGGTAGTAAAAAAGTTTTAAAAATTATATTAAAAAAGAAAAGTTTCTTTATATATTATAAAAACCTTAAGCAAAAAAAATTATAACATGTAAAGATCTTATTCGGACATAATATACCGATAAAACCATGCTAATTCTAAATAAAAGTATTCGAATATTTTGTAAATTGCTTTAACTACATCGAGTACGAAGAGTTTTTACTAAGAATATTTATAATATTAGACTATATAATATTTTATACTTATATATTATAGAAATATATATTATAGATTTATAATATAGATTTATAATATTAGATTATATAATATTATTATTTATATATTATAGATTTATATTATAGATTTTTAATATTAGATTTATAATATTATACATATTAGATTTATAATATTTGTTTGTTTTTTAAATTTTTCAAAGATTTGTTCAAAAACTTACCAATTTTCATCACTCCAGATAGTCTCTTTTTTCTCAGCTATGTGAAAAGTGTAAATAAAACGAGATTGATCAGAGACGTTTTTTTCGCTCTTGTGGACAACCTGACCATGGATAACTATAGCAGAACCTAATTCAAAACATGTAGAGAAAATATGACATAGCAAACATTACTTTACACTAAGTAAGCCGGAACAACTACGCAAAATTTTAAAATCCTTAAATTTTGTCAAGTATTTGTTAAAATCCTTTATCAAGTTCAAGTATTTTAAAATTTTAAGTCAATACTTGCAATTTAGATTTTTTATTTTTACATGGTCTCTATTATGAAACTAAGACACTTTTTAAACAATTTTCACTGAATAATTTTCTTTTTATCATTTTTATACAAAATTTTCATTTGAGTAAGCTCAATTCAACATTTTGCATAAAAATGATTTTTATACAAAATATTTTAGTATTAAAGATTCATACTACACAGTGGCATCATTTTATTGAAATTGGTTTTCTAATAAAAGTTGTATTTATGTGGGTAATTAACCTTAAATGAGTCAAACAAGGCTTTGAGATAATATTTTTCATTTTTGTTTCTCACACCTGTTCATGGGAGCAGCGCAGAAGACAAAGATGGATCTGCCCCCTACCTTGAAGTTTAAAAACGAATTTGTCAGTATAATTTTCAAGACACAGTCTAATTTTTTTTAACTAAATTTTCTATTTATTTTTTTAATTTATATCGTAAAATATTAAAAAGCTATTGTACACAGTTCAGAACTTTAATCATTATTAGTACTTTCAGTATTCTCGTCAACATACCCATATCTAGTTTTAATTTTTGTCATCAACCTGTAAATTATTTGAATAAATTTCACATGATTTCAAACAAAGTTACACTATAATTACTATAAACAAATAAAAAAACTTAACCTTATCTGCTAAGCTCAAAGGTTTCCGGTTTTTAAACTAATTAAAAGTTTATTATCGAAATAAACTATATACCTATAAATTTGTAAAATAATCTTTTATAAGTAAGACTATCAGCAATTTTTACAAGTGAAACAATACTATCAGCAATTTTTACAAGTGAAACAATACTATCAGCAATTTTTACAAGTGAAACAATACTATCACCAACTTTTACAAATGAAATAATACTATCACCAAATGTTACAAGTGAAACAATACTATCAGCAATTTTTACAAATGAAACAGTAATATCAGCAATTTTTACAATCAAACAACAACATCAGCAGCTTTTACAATTTAAACAATACTATCAGCAATTTTTAATTCAAAATGAATCAAAACATTAAAATTTATTTTAAATTTTATTATTTTGCTCTGAGGAAAGCTACGCCACAAAACTTTAGCTAAATCTGCTGTGACAGCTACCTTTCTGATATTTACCTTTCTTAACTGGTGCAGCAACAAACTTCGTACTGTCATATACATCAGGCGGTGCAGTAAAAATATTTCCATCATTGGTGGGATTTCTGATCATCTTCCGGGTAATTGGATCTACAACATATAAAACTCTTAATAAACACATTATCTATCATAGTAGCATATTAGTGCAATAATGATGCAATATTGGGTATCTAGGACAATATACAATTTACACCAATAAAGGTAAACAATATTGCACCAATATTGGCATACTAATATTGGAGCAAGTATTAGCATGCCATAATTGCTCTAATATTGTTTGTATAATATTAGAATGCCAATATTAAAGCTATATTGAAATGCTCATATCGGCCAATATTAATATGACAATATTAATATGTCAATTAATATTGGGTCATTAGCTTTTTAATATTGACATTTTTACATAACAGGGTTGCCACTGTTATTTAGGAACAAAATTCCCTGATTTTCCCTGATTTTTTTGCCAAAAATTTACATTTTTCTCCCTGATTTTTTGCTAAAATTTTTCTTTTTTTCCTCTGATTTTTCCCCTTGAAATTTGCTTGATATTTCCAGCATTTAAATGCCCAAACTTGGCATTAAAACTTCCCTAATAACCCCAGAGCATTTTTTACCTCTAAAAAAACAGACACTATAATCCCCCAATAAGTAATTAACCAATCAATTTGCTTAAAAATTAAAATAAATAATCAAATACTTCAATCAACATATGAAATTTTTCTTCGAACCAGGGTATATTTAAAATGGATATGTTCAACAGGCATTGAAAACCTGTCAGACTTATCTAGGATACAAGATAACGAAATTCAAAAAAATGAAATGAATGTAATAAATTTCTAACTGTATGTTTTACATACATCGTTTAATACTTTTTTCTTTTCTTCCCAATATTCCCTGATCTAAAAGCATTATCACGCTATTTTCTTTTGCTTGGAGTATTCTATTTTCCTCCAAATAGTTTTTTTATTGTAATGAGGCACTACAAACAGCATTTATCATTTCATTTTTTATTTCTATTTTGTGAGACTTTAATTTGTTTGACACCATAAAATCCTTGATAGTGCGACAAGATATAAGTGACAGTCCTTTCATTTTTTCACTGAGTATATTACTGTTAATACTGAAACCTCTCTCAATTGATGCTTGCCCATGACATAAAAATAAATATCAAAACTTTTGACAAAACCTTATAATTTACACCAACTTTATTCGTTTCAAAATAAAAGTAGATGAACTTTTCTCTGACAACTTTAAAAATTGTACGAAAGCTTGATCACATTCATTTGAAGTAATATGTGAGCAAGAAAGAACTAGATGTAGTACAGATTTCATCTGAAGAAGATCAGCTTTTTGTTTAGAAAGATTTGACACTGGATTGATGCAAGCAGTTGCTTCCAGAAAAGAAAATTGATTCAAACTTCTTTCTATTATTTTTTCCAGAATTCCAAAGATAATGAGACAGCAATCTTTTATGAATCTATGATGACATCCTGAGATAATACACCCTTTTTCCTCAATTCGATAATGTCATGTTCTGCAGCAAATCCTATTATCATTAATTTTAATAGCAGAAAGTTTTCCTTTTTTGTAAAATCATATTATTGAAGTTTCCTGCCATTAACGATGCTAAGGAGATCTTGTTTTATAATTAAACCCATTAAACTTTCAACAGTTGAGAACAAATCTTCAAAAAGAAAGGGAATCATTTGGGCATTGGTTTGGTACCTCAGTAAGATTTTCTGCAAAAAACTTGCAATGTAACCAAAAAACTTCAATTTAGTCAGAATTAACATATCTTTTGTTCCCTCGAACCAGAGTTGTTAGTCCTTGACCTGAAAATTTTGGTCTTGGTATTGATTGTTTTGGCCTTAACCATAAACTCTTGGCCTTGCCCTTGTAACTTTTAGCCTTGATCTTGGCCTTGGACTTATAATGAGCGGCCTTGGCCTTGGTCTTGATAATTTTGGCCTTGTTAACAATTCTGCCCCAAACACTTGTCATAGCTCTTTCATTTTGGTTACTTACTTTTAGAAAGAGGCTCCCAATACTTGGTTATTTTTTTTAACATTCTCCCAAAATAAACAAAGTCTATCTACAACTTTTTGGTCTACAACTCAGCGTGTAGAGCAAAATGCACAAGGAAAACTCTCACATTTATTAACAGTTATATAATCAGCTCTTCTAGCTGAAGAATCATAAAAAAGATTGTATGATGCTTTCATTAACTTCTTTATATTCCATTCAGCAGATTGAAAACCCGATTTGAAACCATGTATTAGATGAAGGTTACAGCTTCCAACGTTAAGAAGTTTAGGTAGCTCTTGTTGATCATGCTGCAATTCAAGAAGATTAAGAAGGGAACAGTTCACATTTGTACCTTCTATACTTAGTTGAGTCATACTTTTAAGTAAATTCTTTGCTGTGGGGTAACCTAAAAATTTAGAGTCAAAGTATCTGGATTCAACACGATTTAAATTGCTGCTCTAAAACTGAATTTTTAAATCCAATTGGACATTTTTGCCTATTATCAGCCATTTTTCAAACAAAGGATCAATTAACCATTTTTCTTTGAATTATGTTGGAAACATTAAATTAATGTAAACACAATATGATTAATTTTCTTTAAAAATGTTAAACATTAACCCTGGTACCCTTAAAAAGGAAGATTTTTATTAGAAAAAATATAAAACCATTAAAGAAAAATTAAAAAATTCCCTGATTTTCCCTGATTTTTTCCTAAATCAATCATTTCCCCCTGATTTTCCCTGATTGTATCTAAATTTCCCTGATTTTTCCTGAATTCCCTGATTTGGTGGCAACCCTGTACATAGTTATACGCAGTGCTCGAAGTGGGGCAGGATGTCATCCAATCACCTTTTTAAAAATCTCTATATATAACAATGATTAAGCCGGATGGAATTTTAATTTATCAAATACCATCCAGTTACTTTTTTTTCTCCACGATACATGACAAATATTGTTAAAAAAATAAATTGATTTAACAATTTTTGTTAATTATGGATTTTTAACTGCAGTAACTACTCTGAAAACTGCGAGATTTTATTTTATATAATTCAGAAGGTTTTAAATCACCATAATGAGTCAATATGAATAAAAAATATAAAGATATATTATAATCTTTGTTGCACTACGATTTTTTTTAGCTTACTTGGTCATGTTTTTGTCTTTTTTCAACTTTCTACAAGTAAAAATGGATATAAATGTCAATTTTCGTAAACAATAATTACAATAAGCTGTTAATGTTGTTTATTTAATCTTTGTTTAGAATCCTATATTTCTTTACAATGCGCATGTATTGTATGTATACATGTTTATACAGATATATATACATGTTTATATATATACATGTTTATACAGATGTATATACATTTACTGTAATGGATTAAAAATGACTTGTTTTAAACATGACTTGTTTTAAATATGTTGGCATTATATTACAGTTTATATATAGCCAATATTGGCTATTCATATACATATATATATATATATATATACACATATATATATATATATATATATATATATATATATATATATATATATATATATATATATATATATATATATATATATACATATATATATATATATATATATATATATATATATATATATATATATATATATATATATATATATATATATATATATATATATATATATATATATATATATATATGTTAGTGTTTTTTTTGGTTTTTTTGGTGTTGTAATGCTTTTTTTTAACATTTTTTCAGTTTTTTTTTAACATCAATTTTGAAATAGTTTTTCTTTACTCTAGTATAATTTTAGTATTTGGCCACTAAAGGCACAATTAGATGTATAAACACCAATTTAACATAAATTTTTTATAAAAAATTTAAATTAGCTTTAAGTTAGTTATATATCTAGGCATACTGTATGAAAATGTTTATTTTTTGTTTTGTTGTACTAACAACTGTGATACTCTCATTATATATAAAAACTATTCTTATTCTATAAAAAAGTTACCATTTTAATTTTTATAATGTAAATATATTAATGTATAATACCATGCAAATTTAATATCAGACTTGAATGCTCAAAAAAATAAGCAATCTATCAAGATTATTAACTTAATTAAGCATTCGTATATTATGTAATAATTAAGTCTTACATTGTTTGTTTGTTATATCAAAAAAATAAATATTGCTAGTATGCCCATATTAAAAAAAAAGCCCTATACTGAACTTTATTTCAAGGAAAATTTTAAAAATTTTTAATTATTAATATTTACGGAGTTTCCCAGACCCCATTTACGTGATGATTCATAATTTATTTATTTGTAATAAATTTCTTAACAGCATTTTTTTTTTCTAATTACATTATTTATTCATCTAGATATTTTCATATAGCACTATATCAGAATACTTGCAAAATTCTTTAATATGCTCTGTTTTTTAATCTCTTATTTTTAGACATAATCTTATGGCAAAAGAATTGTTTATCTTTTTCCATTTTACTAATTTGGTTCAGAGGTTTAAATAAATTGGTGACTAAGGCTTTATTTCTGCCCCCTGTATGGAGAGCCTAATCATAATTCTTTTTGTTCTTCCTGTGGAATACCAACAAGAAAAAAAAAATTCACTTAATAATTTAAAGATATCCTTTCTCTTTATATATATATATATATATATATATATATATATATATATATATATATATATATATATATATATATATATATATATATATATATATATATATATATATATATATATATATATGTATAGATATTATGGTGCTTTAAAAATCACAACTCAGTGTTGTTAATGTGGTGTGGTTATTTTTTGTATTAATCTATTTTTAGATTCTAATTCAGAAAAGATTTATATAAAATTTCTCTTTATTTGAGTAATAAGTTGACTTTTTTTAATATAAACATTTTAGGGACCATTTAAACAATATTAGGGACCTGTTGAATAGAAAATGAGCTTAAGTATGAACTAAATATTGAACAATTAAACTTAAATTAGACTTGAAACTTCAAATTGTGTATCTGGGATTATTAAATCATTTATTTCTAACTGCTTTATTATATTATCGTCAAA